CCCAATAGATGGATTGGGGTTATAAAGTAAAGCGTTATTAGTTAAAAGTGTCGGATTTTAGTGGAAAATGAGCAGGCCCGATTTGAATAATGGATTGGAGAATTTGTATTCCAGGTGATGTCTAGAAAACGCTGCCTTATATCTTATTCGAAAATATCATTTATTCTACAGGGTGTAACTTTAAGTGGGAGTCAATTTTTCAGGTGTACCTAAAAGTACGTGTTCTCCAGAACGGTAACTTGCAATTATTTTTTTTTAATAGGAGATAATTTTTTAAACTCCACTTCAATTATTGACTACGCCTCACTGGGCACATCCCGTTCTTTTATAAACGCATTTTTTGTTGGTAATTAAATGTTTTTTCGTTAGCATCGTGTTCCTCAATTCATTATCATTATTTATGTTTTGCTCACTAATTTGCGAATAACTTGATAACAAAAAAAGATATCGAACCCTTTTTGGCGTCAAAATCTAGCTATCTTTATGCTATTTTTATTTATTTATTATAAATTAACCTATAAAAAGTTTTATCCTGGTATTTCACTTTTTTAAGAAAATGTGAAACAACATAAACTTGGATAAATAGCGCCAATAAATAAACAACACTTTCATTAGAAATTTCAAACTTGTACCATATTCATCAATTTTTTGTGCTGAATTCATTTATTCAAAGTAAACTACAGCATTGCATTTAAAATTTTTGAAAAAAATCCTTAAAATGGCATTCTTTTCAAATAACGCCATCTATAGGTTTCCATATTGAGGTAAATGACATTAGGCATGCACCATGAGATAAAGCATGATGAGCCAATCCTTAAAAAATGCATTTTTCTGATCAGACATTAGGGGCTTCCCCCGTCCTTTCTTTCGAGAGATAGAACAATATGTCAATAACAAAAGTTATGCGTAATGAATCCGGCTATACATATTTGTACTAAGTATTTAATATACCTTCTTGAATAGGAAAGATTTCTGAGAAAAATTCAATTCAATGTTTTGGTAGATTGCTCCCGCTAGCGGCCGAGCTACGAATTTGAAAATTATTTCCAGCGATTTCTCTTGGTCGGTTTAATCACCGAAATGTTTTTCCCGAAGCTCTAGGGCCTATACTTTCTCTAATATAGTACCTCGCCGACCTTAGTGGGACACCCTGTATATAATTTAAATTTTAAAATAACTATTTTTGGTGTTTTGTTAAATTTATATAACAAAAAATTATAAAAACACTTAGATTTGGAATACTTATTTAAACAAAATAATAAGATTGTAATAAAAAGTATTTGTTACTATTTTTTAAAGGTCTATGTTTAGTTTTTATGATCTTTAATATTAAGATGTTAAACTTTAAATATTGCAAATTAAAAAGTTATGATCAAATTTGAAAGTTATAGCAAATTATTAATTAAAACATTAGCTTTGAGGTTCTGTGACTGCTAATTTTCAGTTTTCAGAAAAAAAATAGTCTTAAGAACTTATTCCACTATCTTTATAAGTAACATCACCACTTATTGTTCATAATTTTTATGTTAAAAAAAATGCAAAATTTGTCTTATTTTTAAGTTTTGGCGAATGCGCCAATGTGACAAAAGATTTTTGAGCTACATCTCTGCTAGAACCAGTTACCTAATTGACTTAATTTCAGTTAACAATCCAATTCTGTATAGTTATACAAAGTGTTTCAGAAAGACCTTCAGGGGTGATAATGCGACAAAAAATAATATTTTTTTGTCTTATGAACTATATGTCTATCTCATCTTGTTTTCGAGATACAGAGCGACAAAATAACATTTTTTAAATAGAATTTTTACGAAAATTTCCAAACGGTGCGAAATATTTTTATGGAATTTGGTATTCCGGGATTTTTAAGGACGCCAAATACGGTGGACTAATTATTTTTTGTATATTTTATAGAGGGCGCTAGTTATGCTACAATGGTATTACATTTTAAGTTCTAATTTTTTTGAGGTTAGGTTTTTCGGGCTTCAATTTCCAATACACAATTTTGTTTTCTAAAAATAATGTACTCTTATTAAAACTTCCTAATGTGGACGGTTTTCGAGAAAAAAGGCTTTTAAAAAACACACCACAGAAATGAGATTTAGTTGAACTCTTACAACATTACGGTGTAGAAAATACCTAAGTGACTTTTCTCAAAGTAGGCTTATGTAAAAACTGATTGATGGATGTCTCATAAACAACGCATACATTCTCAGTAATATTTTAAACTCTAATTAACTTTATATCAAAATTTTAGTGACTGTAATTAGTCATTACAGTAACTAACAATCACTAAAATTTTGATATAAAGTTAATTAGAGTTTAAAATATTACTGAGAATGTTTGCGTTGTTTATGAGACATCCATCAATAAGTTTTGACATAAGCCTATTTTGAAAAAGTCACTTCACCGTAATATTGTAAGAGTTCAATTAAAACCCTTTTTTCTCGAAAACCGTTCATATTAGGAAGTTCTAACAAGAGTACATTATTTTTAGAAAATACAATTGTACATTAGAAATTGGAGCCCCAATGGTAAAAAGCCTAACCTTAAAAAAATTATAACCTAAAATGTAATAGGAATGAAGCATAATTAGCGTCCTTTATAAAATATCCAAAAAATAAATTAGACCAGCGTATTTGGCGTCCTTAAAAACCGGGGAATGAGAAATTTCATAAAAATATTTCGCGCCGTTTGGAAATTTTCGTAAAAATTCTATTTAAAAAATTTTATTTTGTAGCTCTATATCTCGAAAACAAGAGGAGATAGACATATAGTTCATAAGACAAAAAAATTTATTTTTTACTATCACTCCCTGAATTTACGGGAGGTCTTTCTGAAACACCCATTAATATTATAATTGTCCCTACTCCCTAATTATATTTGTCCCAAAATAAGTAAATCGCTATTTAAACTTTTTATATGTGGTACAAACAAATGAATCTAGATATTGTTACCTTATAAATATTAGGATTAAATTATAACCTTTATGTAAATATTTTAACTTATATAGATTTTTTTAAGGTTAACTTAATAAATTAGTGTGATAAAATAATTTCCCGTTAGCTTTTGCAGCGTTTTGAGGAAAGGAAATCCAGTCCAATTAAGTGAAGCTCTTATGTGTTTCGTATTACAAAGTCAGCAGTATATTCCTTTAGAAGAAATATGTGATTTTGTAGTGAAGTACATTATATACCTACTCGTATTTAAAAAATATATTTTTTTTGAAAAGCGATAGTCAACTTTTTTTTTCAAATGGCAACATAGGTTTTTTTTATTTATTATTATGCAGATTTCTATTCTGAATTCAACGATGTATATAAAGTTTACACTTGTGAAACACGTATTACAGAAAAAGCATTAAAATATTAGTCAATACCGCATTATTAGCGCCCGGTCGCTTAATTTACAACAAACATATTTTGACTAATCATGTATGCCTGGAAAACAAAAAAAATAATACAATAAAGCAAGTAAATGTCATTTTAGCGTTCGTGTCCCAGTTTTTTACGCATTGTACCCTTTCTGTGTCATTTACAGTAGGTTATTTATTGAAATAAGCTCAACAGTGCAAAATATGAGTAATAATCAATTGACGGACATGATTCAGGTATACTTTCGGTGTAATAAAAATCGTGATGCAGGAGTCCGCCTTTACAGAGAACTATTTCCTCACAGAGAAGTTCCAGAACCACGTAGATTTGTAAGACTTGAAGAAAATTTGAGAAACTATGGTGCTTTTAAGAAACCCAAGAACTTCCATTCGGGAAATTTCTATTAATAATAGAGCATCAAAGAGAACTGCACATGCAGTATTGAAAAAGCACAAGTTCAAGCCATACATTCCTCAAAAAGTACAACCATTAGAGGAAAACGATAGAGAACGACGGCTACAATATGTTTCTTTAGTTGTTTTAGGTTTGTTCTTCTTTGTTTTATGTTTAATCAATGTTACTTCGTGTTGAATTTTGCATAATGTATTTAATTAAATTGTATTTCTTTTAATTGACATTTATTGTATTGTTTCTTTTCTGTTAACTACAAAATTCTCTTTTGAGTTTTATTTGCTTTGCTGTATTATTTTTTGTTTTCCATGGCACAGATGATTAGTTAAAATACATTTGTCATGAATTAGTGGGCGGGCGCCCAATGCGGTATCGACTAATATTTTGTCGTATTTTCTGTAATAAATACTTTACAAAAGTAAAGTTCATATAAATCGTTGGATTCAGAAAATAAATCTGCACAATAATAAATAAAAAAAAATATATTGCTATTTGAAAAAAAAAGTTGACTATCGCTTTTCAAAAAAAAAATAATCTCTAATAGGCTCCCTCTATTTAGTCATTTCATTTAATTTTTGGTTTTTTAAAATCAGACTATAAATAACTGAGTTATGGTTTGCGGCGTTTTTTAGGAAACAACCTGTTTAACAAATAAATTGATCTATTTTCTATTTGCAATGTATCCATGTTTACCTGCCAAAATTTGTAAGTCGTATCGATTTTTCGTTATTCTAAGGTCCCCGAGACCTTCCAAGGGCCGATATCTGCCCGAAGAACCGGCACATTCTATCCCGGCCGGAGTCAGCAGGTTAAAAAAGGGGTTGATGGCAGCGCGCGCGAAAATAGGGCGCAGCCGCACGCGACGACAGAAGTTAAACACGGGGTAGCGAGGTCTGATCCCGCCCTCAGATGACACACCACTACTAACGCACGCCATACCCCGCGGTACGTCATTCTTCGACGTCGTCGCCACCGAAAAACATCACCCTGAAAAAAAAAACGTTAATGAGGCCGAACCACTTGTTCGAGTCGCGGGCTGCTTCACGGATCGCGGTTGGCGCTTCTCGATTCCAATCTTACGTTTGTGTAATTAGCCTGACTTCAGTAATTGAAATTTTACGATTTTAAAGTGCCACGTTTCGAATTTTTTTGATCGCGGAGGCTGAAGACGTTCTGTTCGTGAGGTGCAACCGGTAGACTGGTTCGGGGAAGGTGGCCATGGATTGCACCGTATCTCAGCCGCAGGCGACTCCGATTCTATCGACACTCCATCAGCCCTGTTCACCCGAGCAGCACCCCTGCCATCCGAACGGTGAGTAATTAACAAATATGTATATTACAAAAAAATCGGCGTAATGTTTTTGGTTTCCATTACAATAAAATAAGTTTACTGGAAATAATATGCACCTACCTATTTAAGTATCTAAAAAATACAATTTATAATTCTGTGCAGTGAAAACTAATTTTTGTAAATTTACTAAAATAATGGGTATTTGATTACCCTTTATTTTAGCAGTAATTTCACAAAAAGATTGTAATTGGTACAAAGTACAATTTTGTTGTAAGCATAGTTTTGGTATACTTATAGAACTTGTGTAAATTTTTTGTCTTTTTGTTTTTTTATTTTACATTGTGATGTTTTAATATTTTTAAAATAATTTTTTGCTGGTATAGCGCAACGTTCCTTACCTATTGCATACAATATTTATATCGGTAATAATAATTTGACGATTTTTTTCAAGTATTGTTATTTTCCTTGCGATGTTATTTCATTTGAAATTGAGATAAATATTTAGATTGCTACATACGGTCTGTTTGATTACAATGGTCTGGAGCTATAACTCCGTTACCCTTTTTGTGGACATTCTGTAAAGTATATATATATATATATATATATTTATAAATGGGATGTTATTTTCTTTAGGTATACAGACGTACAATTTTTTTTTGTCACGCTGTAGATGAGTGGTGACGTCCTCGATATTTTTTTAAATGAGATTGTATAAACTTTTGTAGACGATTTGATTGATTTTTTATTTTCTTTCCAACCATATACAATTTATATGCCTTTACATAACGAAATTTAAAAGAAAAATGAGAAAACTTTCAGCGTTTAACTTTAGTTTACGATGCTCGCTTTCTAAATCATAGAAGGAAAAACTACTACCGCTATCTGTCACATTTCGGTTTGTTTGTAATTGTTGCCACCTTTCAAGTTTAACTTATAACAAAATCAATGATTTTAATGAGGAAGTTGATATACTGCAGGTTTATTATAAATGTAGAAAAAACAGTGTAGCAATTTTACATTTCTGACGACAACGGTATCCTAATAGAATTTTTCCTAACAGATGAAGTATAGTCTTTCCGAAATCAGTTAAACATATATAAAAACGCCTAGCAATAAAATTTAATGAATTTCATAGGCGTCCCTAAAAAAGTTTTCTGCTAAAGGTAAAAAATTTGTATATAATGTGTAGAAAATTTCTATTATATGTTCATTTAACCAACAACATATTTTAATTCTTCAACTGGGCGACCAGACCTGTATATGGGTAAGGCTAAATAAATATGGGAACAAATTTTTCAAATATTTTAATGCGGAGTTGCCGTGTAGCGACGGAACCTGATACATACCACCTCTTTGGTCTTCAATTGAGATCGGAAAGACTATACCAATTCAGCGGTCTTCAAATGTAGCATTCAAATGATTTATGTTTATTTGGGCATTATGTGGAGGTGCACCGTCTTGTTGGAAAAAATATTTACATACTCATTAACTGTTAATTCTACCAAATACTGTTGTAACTGATCTCTCAAAAATCAAGGAAGTATGGCCCTATATTTTTGAACCACATCACACATTAATATGAAATCGATTTTGAAATTTTCTTTTTCTTATAATTCTAGGATTATTATGGCTTCATTGGTATGATATATCGCGGTTAAACATGATGTTAGAAAAATTACTTTCATCTGCCCATAAAATAATTTTTGGAAAGTTAGTCATTTTTATGAAAATATTGAACCAAATTCACCTTGTAAGGAAACAATTTATGTTTATGTAGAATTTTGTACTCGGTTAAATTATTATTTCTGGCTAATTCCCATATGGAAGTATTCGTATTTTCTTGCACACCTAATAGTAATTCTACGAGTAATTCTTGATTTTCATTGTGAGCATATCCTAAAGAAACTCTTCTCTTCTTTAGTGTTCCATACTGTCTTAGATTTATTTTAATTTTACTAAACCTTCTTCTGTTAAAATTCTGGGAAATTATATTAGGATAAACCTGTCGATATAATTGTATAATTGTATTTTTTGTTTAATAGATTTGAATAAGTTCACTAATGGTACCTACTTCTTTTTCTATCGCCATCACTAATAAGTTACAAAATTGTTCTTCTCTGTACAAAATATTAAGTTCGTATTTCAACCTATCTATTTCAAAAACGTTTAGATACATTTGTAATAAACATGTAAACTATTTTTTCCGGAAATGTGTTGGCATATTCGGGAAATTTTGAGAAATCTACTAAAGCAAGAAAATTTAATCATGTAAATTCCCAAAACGAGTACTTAATTGAAGGGAAATGTAGTTTATAATTTACTGCATTTTATATCTAGAAAATATTTATAATTCGTCCCAACTTTTGCCCCGTTCAGTTGGTAGTCCTATAATATTTTTCGCATAATTAAAAATATTTTTAAATTTTTCTTCGTTCCACATAGCCATTGATAATATTTATCATATCAAAAAAATTGAAATTTTCGCGAACTTTTGTCTTTTCTTTAAATTTTTTTCTCTTTTCATTAAAAATTGTCGTTATTTTTGGCGATGGCCGATTATTCAAAATTTGTTGGTTTTATACTTCATTACACTTTGAAAAAGTTTCAAGTAGAGATAAAAAAATATCGTGAGCGGGATTTATTATTATAGTCTTTCCAAAGTCAGTTGAACATGTATAAAAACGCCTAGCAATAAAATTTAATGAGTTCCTAAAAAAGTTTTATGCTAAAGGTAAAAAATTATAACAATTTGTATACAATGTGTAGAAAATTTCTATTATATGTTCATTTGGCCAACAACATTTTAATTATTTATGTCCTCAAACAATTTTATTATATTAGTGGTAAATTTCGTTTTGTTCCGTTTCAAAAGGTCTCCAAAATGCCATGTTCTAATAATATTAATAAACAAAATATCCCTCTTATTTCTCCCTTTCGCAATTGTAATGTGAATGATTAATAGAAGGTGCCTATAATAAATTAAAATTACCTGAATCACACCAAATTCCGCATTGCTGCACTGCACTGACAGGCAATTTGTGATCCACTTGTCAACAGCTGAGATTTATTGCCTAGTCTCCCAGTCTCCACGTTTAGTTCGACCAGACCTGTATATGTATGACTATATAAATATGGGAACAAGTTTTTCAACAAATATTTCTATGCCGAGTTGCTGCATCAGCGACCGAACCTGGTTCATACTGCCAACCTATTGATTCTTCAACTGAGATCGGAAAGACTATACCTATGTATATCGATAATATTATCTATTATATTATGTTAAATTTAATCTTACTTTGTTTTGTTGTAAAGTTGTTTTTAATTTACTTTAAATTAATACCTGCCTCCTTAAAGCCTTTGTACTATCATCACTCACATCTACACGTTACACGGATAGGTACCGCAAAACTGACACTGTAAGCAGGGTTGCCACAGCTCAGGCCGTATATTTCGGTATAATGCTTCTGGATATTTCGGTAGATTTCGTAAATTTTCAGTAGATTTGTATTTTATATAAATAATAAGTAAAAACTAATTCGAGTTAAAAATATTATATATTCTATGATGGAATATGGATGGAAAAGGCCATTGTTCAAAAACAAAATAAAATAGAACAGAGAACAGATTCTTAAAACAATAATAATAAATAAATAAAACAAATAGGTATAAATAAACTCTAAAAGAACATTGACAAAAAGTAACAGAGTTTTACTTATATAATATAATATACTATACAGATTATTACAAAACTACTATGATAAAAACATCGCGGTGAACATTATTCCACTTCATCTATATTTTTACCACCAATACCACCATAAAGTAATGACCTTCATTACCTTTAAGAGTTCTTTTTCAATGATAAATTGTTGTTCACACGTTGTTTCTTGTAGATACCGCCTGGTATGAAGGAAATCAGAAATAGTAGATGTGTTCAAATTTGCTCTTAACTTTGTTTTTGTTAAATTACAGTCTGAAAAAATTCTCTCGACATTTGTAGATGAGTGTGGCAGACAAAGAAGTGCAAAAATTTTGTTTTCGTTTAAAATTAAATGTGGATAATATGCCTAGAGTTTATTTAACATTTGGTCTTTTTTCGAGTGAATGTTTTGTAAATTTATCGGTAGAATTTGGACAAAAATCGGTATTTCGGTAGATATAAGCTATAATCGATAGATCTACCGAAGTTTCGGTAGCTGTGGCATCCCTGACTGTAAGCCGAACGAAATGGGCCTCAGATTCCCTCCTTAAATACGTTATTTTAACCTTCTCTCGTGGAAGGGGAACCACAGTATATTTATAGGCAAGTATGACGCGCTTACAAACCAGGAATTTGTGGCCTGACTTTGGTGGGGGCGGAAGGAAAAATTATTTTATTGTTATTTTGAGTTTTGATAAAATTTAATAGCTAATTGGAAATTAATTTAACTGTTTATTTAGGGTAATAGTAATACAGTGAGGCCTGGCATCACTTGCTTCATACGACGAGCCGCCACTGATTTACATGATGAATTTTATGTATTCTTTCTGTATCTTACACTTTTATTATCGTCTAAATGTTGCAACTGAAAACGCGAAACGTCCAGTATTAGATACCCAAATCGCGGATGCTGTGACGGAACAAAACCCAAACGAGGCGATCCTCTATTATTTCAATAAATATCATGCCAAAGTGCCACGCTAATTGTAAATCCATTTAGAGCGGGTCCGGGCGACACAATCAGGGGGCACATCTGTAAACACGAGGGGTCGGACGAGCCGGGCATATGGGGCCGCGCCGGCACTATTCACATGATAATCAAGCACACTTGATTAATACTCTAATGTCAATTTGACTGTAACTGATTTTATAAACTCGATACAGCGCGGGACCGAAGCCAATACATCAGGGAGCACTTTGCGCGGCTGCGGGGTCACCGGCTGTGAGGAAATCGCTTTATGGGCACTCACCTAGGCGATGCAGGCAGGAGTACCCAGATTAGATTATGGGAGAATAGTACAGGGTGATCCACGGTCTAGTT